AAACTGAGGCCACCCCGGAGCACAGACAATCCAGAGCAGGCGAGTGGTTTCAGACCTCAGCTGCAGGGCAATTACAGCGTGCTTAATTAGTATTTGGATTTCTTGACCCTGGCTCCTGCAAGCCTGGGCGGGGCCTCGGAATCTGAATTTTAAACAAGCCCCTGAGCACTTGGGCCACAGGTGATCTGCGGGCCACCCTGAGAAACTCCAAGGGCGGAGGATGCAGAGGCAGTGGGTAGAGAGAATGGAGCCTGGGGAGTGGACAGGGGACTGGAGCTGGTCAGGGGTGTCACTGTCTCCAGGGCCTCTCAAGGATCCTGTGGCTTTTTTTGGGATTACAAATATTCACCTTTTATTTTAAATAAAATACTTGTTGATTTTTTTAAACATTAAAAGATGCCAAGTGTTGCATTGTATTCACCACCCCGGACAATTAAAACTGTGGAGATGTAGGCAAACAGCTAGAGTGAAGGCACATATAAAAGGACCATACTGGAATTAAATTTTTTTAAATCCGGGAGAAAATAGCAGTGTGTGTTCCCTGTGGCACCCAGCATTGTGCAGCACCCATTGGGTCCATTTTATTACACAAAATACAGAGAACAGGAACTATACGACCAAATAATTGCTATATTGCAGGAAGGTAATCAAGGCATCATTTTATAACGAACTTTTATTTTAAAAATAAATACATTTTATGCTTAAAAATATACCATAAAGCAAAGGAGAAAGACAAAAATGAAACAATGTCACCTTGGTCTAGGACTTGTGAGAGTGCAGCTGACTCCCAGGCCAGAGAGAAAATAAGACCCATTCAGGATGGTGTTAGTGAGTTTCCTGGAAGACAGGCCAGTGATGCCAGGCCCCAGGCCCACTAGTGTGGAACGGAGGGACTGAGAGCTCCACGCCCCAAATAACAGCTCAGCCCACCTTTTGGGGCTGACCTGAGATGTGCCCAGAGCAGCCAGCCTGTGAGGAAGAGGACTGGAGGAGGCAGGCACTGGGGACAGGTCTCGCTGCAGGAGAGTAAAGTGCTACCGTCACTGGCCAAAGAGTAGCGAGAGGGAGGCACAGAAGCACCACAGCCGAGACTCCCTGTGACCACAGACCAGAGGCTGCCACCCCCCATATCCCAGCCCTGGGGACACTGAGGTTGGTCGGGGTTCAGGACTCACCCCAAGTCATGGGTGGAGCTGGGGATAGAGCCAAGAGGAGAACTCAGGTCTCTGGCCCCAGGGAACACACCCTGCTCCCCAAACACACAGTCCTCTTTTATCCTCCAAGCCTTTGCCCAGACTTTGCTCCCTGCCTGGAACACCCTTCCTATCTTATCTAACATCTGGTGGATGAAAGTTCCATTTTCGCCTCCAACTGAGGCCTTCCCTGCTTTCAGGGTTTGGGAAAATCTGCTCTCAGCAAGTAGAGTTTAAAGCGAGCCAGTCTGGTGTCACCATCTGCATGACATGTATCCCTCAGAGGCCTTTACTTAAGCAGAGGGGGCTCCAGCTCCACACCACTGGGCAGGCTGGCTCAGGGCAGACACCCCTGCTCAGAAGCAGGCTCCCAGGCCTCACGCCCACTGTCTTTAGAGCGCAAAGGTGGGAGCCGTCCCCACGGCCTCAGCGAGCTGATGAAGCTGAGTGTGAGCTGTGATTACACCAGGCTCGAGTCTGCTGGGGTACTGGGAGCAGGCTGGGCACGCTCGTTCGCACAGAGCCTAATGAAGCGTCCCGTGTTCTACAAACCTCAGCGTGTGATTTAATTAGCCCTCCATTCCGGGTATGCCCTCGTCACCCATCATGGACAAAGGGGACTCTCGACCCCTGACCGGGGGGTAGCAGCCATGAGCGAGTAACTGGGGCGTGCACTAGAAGCAGCTCCAGCAGTAGCAGAGCAGTGACCCTGTGCACCCACCAGCTAGTGAGGTCTGGGATTTCAGTTCGGATTTAGGTGGAAAGCAGAGTATCAAAAAGATGGAGATGGGCAGAGAGGCACGCCAGGCGGTAGGTACTGTGTGCAGAAAGGTGCAGCAGAAATGTGCGTGGTATGCCACACTGGCTGGTCTGCACATGTGTGAGGGGGTGTGGTTGGACGTGAAGCAACCGCGTACACCTGCCTAATATCACAGTGGAGACATGGAGAAGCCCAGCTCTGCCACTTACCACCCCAGTGAGCCTGGCCAGGTCACCCTTTCTCAGAAACATGTGCTCAGCACCAAAGTCCTTCATGAACGTTGACCTCACTAGATCCTCACAACAGCCCTATGGAGTAGGGACTACCATTCCCCCCATTTTATTCATTTATTTAGAGACAGAGTCTCACTCTGTCACCCAGGATGGAGTGCAATGGTACGACCTCCGCTCACTGCAGTCTCGACCCTCCCAGGTTCCAGCAATCCTCCCACCTCAGCCCCTCCAAGTAGCTGGGACTACAGGCGCATGCCACTATGCCTGGCTAATTTTTGTATTTTTTGTAGAGACGGAGTTTCGCCATGTTCCCCAGGCTGGTCTTGAACTCCTGAGCTCAAGTGACCTACCCACCTCGGCCTCTCAAAGTGCTTGGGTTACAGGTGTGAGCCACCAGTACCTGGCCCCTAATCCCATTTTAATGATGAATAAATGGAGGGGCAGAGAGAGTAAGTAACATGCCCACGGTCACACAGCCAGGAAGTAGTGGGGCCAGGACGCCAGCCCCCACCATCCTCCTCCTCACCACTGCACCTTTCAGCCCCGCTAGGAGGACCCTGCTGCCAGCCTCACAGGGCTGGAGTAAATACTGGTGCTGATGGCATGACGCTCCCAGCCCAGGCTGGCACGCAGCAGGAGCAGCAGGAAGGAGGTGCCTCCTCCCATCATTCCTCCCTAGTAAGCCCCTGCTCCATGCTAATTCCATTTCTCCCTAAACTGCCCATACTCTTGTTGGTGCCTCTTAAATTCTCTAATTTGTGTCTGTACTCCACCCTGACTTTTCTAACAGCCCTCTATCCCAGTGGCCCTGCCATGTTCCTTGGCTACTTAACATCCCCGGTGCATCATCTAGGAAATGGCAATAATTAACGATTAAATGAGTTAATAGTTGGAGAGTGCTTAGAACTGTGATTCCAGAAGACTGGTCCCACCTGAACATGAGCTCCTCAGAACTAGTTCCATCATGTCCAGCTCTGGCCCCCACAGGCCCTGGCCCCAAAAGGATGGATCACACAGGAGCCTGGCAAATCCTCACTGAATGGTCAGCTTGTTTAAAAGACACTGGGTCAAAAGTCAGTTTTAATGGCATCATAATAGTTTCAAAAGACATTCTCTTAATGACTTCAGAAGGTGATGACTATTTGCCAGTCAAAACCAGGGAAGAGGGAGCTGAAGGGATGGAACAGAGCACTGACTTCTAAACCACATTCAGGGGCTGTGCAAGAGACTGTAACTGTTCACCTTACTGACCCCACAAAGTAACCCCAGTGGAGGAGCCCCTGCCCTCATTTCACCAGTGAGAAAAATGAGGCCCTGGGAGGGAAAGCTGCCTGCCTAATATCACAGGGGCTCACCCCTCTGTTTCTATCTCCCCAACACATAGCAGGCACGTAGATGCCAGCTGTGTGCTTGAATAAGAAATGAAGGAACACCCAAGTCACACAGCTCCTGAAGGGCACAGTTGGGGTTTGAACCCCGATCTGAGTGCTGTTTCGAAATGGCTCCCAACCTAGTGCTTGTGTGCCATGGATGTTACAATGTGTCTTCTCTTATGAATCCGGCAGCACCCTCCTTTGCAGCCCTGCGGAGAGAAGGCTGATTGAGGATGGTCACAGATGGAAAGGCTGCGTCCCCTCAAATTCATATGTGGAAACCCTAACCCAAGATGATGGTGTTAGGAGGTGGGGCCTTTGGGAGGTGATGAGGTCATGAGGGTGGAGCCCCCATGAATGCGATTAGTGCCCTTAGAAGAAAGGCCCATGAGAGCTCTCTTGCCCCTTCCCCCATGCGAGGACACAACAGGAAGTCGCCACCTGTGAACTGGGAAGAGGGCCTTCAACAGACACTGAACCTGCTGGCACCTTCATCTTGGACTTCCTAGCTCTAGAACTGTTAGAAATGTTTCTGTTGTTTATGAACCACCCAGTCTATGGTATCTTTGTTATGGCAGCACCAACAGACTAAGACAGACTCTAACAGTATCATAAGCCTCCACCCATGAAACTTACGCAGTCATTTTCTTACAGATTGCCTGCTATTTCCCCTAAGACTAAACAGAGTGAACATGCACAGTCATGCAAGCACACACTCTCATACTCACATTCACACACATGCCAATGTGCTTGGACATACATGTGCACACACAGTTGTACGTACACACTAACACACAGTCATATACTCGCACACACATTGCCATGTGCTTACACCCATGCATGCCCACTTACCTGCATGCACATTCACACGATACACACTGACACACTTCCACACTCATGCATGTGTGCACACACAGGCCATAAGCAGAGGCTGAACTGCCTGTTCCTTCAGATACTCAGGGTCAAAGCTACTCGGGGTCAGAGCCTCCAGAGGTGAGAACTTGCCCAATTTCATCACTTATGGAGCACACTTAGTGAGCCCAACACAGCCCATCTCAGCTGGTAGTTAAATCTGCCGGGCAGATGCTGGTGGGTACGCATCCCAGAGGCTGGGGATGTTTGTCCTGGTGCAGTCATCAGAGCAAGACCCGACCTTGAGAACTTCCTGCCGCCTCTCAGCCTGCACAGCAGCACACACCTGTTCCGTTCCTGATGAGGGGAAAGCTCACATATCCCCTGAGGGCCAGGGATGACCCCCATTTTCATTCTGACACCCCAACAATCCTGGTGGTGGCAGCTGAGGTCACTGAGACTCTGAGAAGTGGAGACTGGCCAGAGGCCACAGCTAGCAGGGGACTGTGCTGGGGCTCCCACTCAGGGCTGGCCAGCTCCATGACGGGGACCCTCCCAACCATCACGATCCCCCATAGTCCCTGCTCACCCAAGTCTCTCCTTCCCAACAGCGTCTTCGTTATACTCATCAGAATTAGGCTGCTCCCTGGTGGCTCTGCAGTTGGCCACTGCCATGTTGCCAGTCAATGGCCAAAACCAGATCTATGTGGCTATGCACCGGACAGTAATATAAGTTTTGCCTGTGTGTGTGTGTGTGTGTGTGTGTATGTGTACAGGTAAACAAACATTGAAAGAAACAAAATATTGCCTAGTATGCCTTTTTCCTCCTCCTGGCTGGAGCTAGAACCAGCTGAAGCTAGAACCAGCTGGAGCTAGAACCGGCTGGAGCTAGAACTGGCATGAGCTGGTAAGTTCCTCGGAGGCCAGGCAGGCAGTGGAGTGATTCGGCAGCACCCTGCATTACTTCCTACATGTACGAGAAGAACCAGTTCCACAGACCGGAGCTAGGCTCGCAAACTCTCTGATCATGGGCACAGTGGGCATTCCGTGGAAACTAACAAAAGAGCTTTCCCATTTGCAGGCAGCTCCAGGGTTCGTCGCTGGGATGAGGGAAGTCAGGCAGAAAGCAGGAGGCTGGCGGAAGGAGCACCAGGCAAGCAGCAGTCTCTTTTAGCCTCAAGGATAGCTTCAGGCCCCAACATCAACTAGTCACTCAGGACAGCACTTTATAGTTTACACAGACAGCCAGTATCTGGATCTCATTTCACATGTCAACGAGCCCTACAAGATGGGCAGGAGGTTCCTACTGGTATATGGATGGGGAAACTGAGGCCCAGAGAAGCAAGGGGGAAGGGAGGGGAACTCTTGTTGGGCTCCTAATGCACCCACAAGGCCCTGGGCTGGGTGGAGGGAGGAACAGGGGGTGGGAGAGCCCAATGGGAATCACTACGCCATCACTCCCTCCTAGCTGTGCAACCTCAGGCCAATTGCCTAACCCCTCTGAGCTTCAGGGGCCTCATCTGAAAGCCCGGATGAAAAGCCCTCCGTCCCTGGCCGCCTGTGGATGCTCACCACATGTGCTTAGTTTTCCTCAACAGCCTGCTCCCCTTTCTCTGTGAACTCAGGGTCATCCTCCCAGTGACCATAGGAACCCAGGGTCCACAGGAGAGCATCTTGCTCACACAACAGGAAGGGATGGTGTCAGGAACAAGTGCCGGTATCTGGGGGCACAGGGCCATGGAATGCCAGGACAGTGGACAAAAGGCCCCGTCCTCCCACAGAGCTGCTGCCTCACAGTGTGTGCGCCTCTTCCACATGCTGGAGGACCTGCCAGGGCCTTCTCTCTTGGAGGTGAATATCAGGGGGGCTTTCAAAGGGATCAAACCGGCCAGCGCCAGCGTGTCCACCATTACAGCTGGCCTGGGGGCTCAGAGCCCCTCTGAAACTACCAATGGCACATCCCAAGGTCAGACCGCCGGCCGCTTCAATCCATTTGCATTTGGCAGACATTCAGCCTCTTATTTCAAAGGCAAATGTATGCTTGCTTCACTGTTTCTGCTTTTTTAAAGCAAAGAAAAAGAAAAGCTTTCCCAGCCTGGGGCTCAAGCATGTCTGGGTCACCGTGACAGCGACACTTTGAAAACCACCTCCAGGTGCCTCCAGTCAGGGTAAGCAGTCTTTCTCAGAACCCACGCTGATCCAGGCCGAGGGGAACCTCAGCTGCGAGGGGGGCACGGTCACTCAGAGGACGGCCCTCACCCACAGCTCATTCCAGACACCGGAGCAGCCACCAGGAAAGGCTTGGCCAAGTCACCGTGCCTCAATCGGCAGCATTCCAGCAGACTTCTGACATTCAAGCCTGAGTCCTGCAGAAGCCGGCAGCAGTGAGGGGCTTTGAAGAGCTGGGGACACCCAGGAAGGGAACTGAAAGTCATCCAGTCCAACCCTCTCTGGTGTCTGAATCCTTCTACAACAGACTTCCAGGTAGTCCTCCAGCCAAGACTAACATACCTCCTATGATGGGGAGCTCACTACCACATTACACAGCTATTAAGATAGCTCTGATGGTGAAAGCATTCTTCTTCTAAATTTTCCTCCTGGGAGTTTCCCTCAGCTGGTCCAATTCTGCCAGCTGGGCCCAAACAGAGCACCCCAACTCCTTTATCCACAGGATCAGTGACCAGGACCCCAGTACCAATTTTTTATCCCAAGTTCCTAGCAGTCCCTGCTGTTACCCTGGGTCTTTCTATCTGGATTTCTCACCAGCAATTTAAATACAACATGTCTAAGACTAAGCCTGCCATTTTCCAAAGGCAACCTACTCCTCTACCACCTTCGCCCACCAGCCTAACCAGAAAGCCGGAGTGAGCTCAACGCTCCTCCCTCCCTCATCTTCCGTGACAAGGATATGACAATCGGCTACCCGTGTGCCCAGCCCTGGGGTGGCTTCCTCAGGTGCACACAACTACCCCCATGATGGGCGATTTTCCCCATTTTACAACAGAGAAAACTGAGGTTCAGAAAGGTCACATAAAGTCACACCACCACCGAGAGTAGGAGCCAGGATTCAAACCCAGGTCTGACTCAAAGCCTCTTTCCACCATCCCATGAAAATGCTCAGAGGCATTTCAGCACAACCTGAGGATGTCCCTCCCAGCTCCTCCTGACCTCACCTCTGCCCCAGCTCAGCACTCGCCACCAGGGTCTCCAGCACTGCCCACCCCATCCCTCCAGCGGGAGCTTTCCCAACAGAAAGCAGCTGTGGCCCCCGGGGTGAAGCAGGATTCCTGGCTGCACCCAGTGGCCTGCAGGCTCTTCTTGTCCCTGCTCCCCTCCCCCATCCTCTGCTGCAGCCACCCTGATGCGCTGACCAGGCATGAGCTGCCAACATGCCCTCTAGCCCGAGAGCACAGACGCCAAGCAGCAGCACTGGGCTCTGAGTCCAGATCCTTCCACTTTGGGAACCCTGCAGGAGGGCTGGGACCATCTGGCAGGGCTGGGGGAGGAGGGAGACACTTCTTCCAAGCCTGCTGGGCCCCCTGTGTGTGCCCCAGGGGAAGGCTCCTGGCCTCTCTCCCCACCTGCATTGGAGGGAGAGTGGCTGACTCTGGAGTACTGGGGAGGGAGATGGGAAACAGTCCAGCCCCGCCTCTCCCCTCCTCCTGGGGGAGAACAGCCAGGGGACACTGTACTCTGCTCCACGCTCCCCTGCTCCCTCCACGCCTGCCTGCTGGGGTCCAGCACTGGGGAAGCCCACCGGGCCCCTGCACTTAGGCCAGGTCCTGCAGCACTGGCTGCTGGGCAGTGGCAGTGAGGTTCCGTGTCTCTGTTTGCTGCCCCGTTTGGCTTATGCTCCATGGGTCCAGCTCCTGGGTGGGGAGGGGGATGCCATTTACCAGACCCCCTTGCAGACCCCACAGAGCGGGAGGGAGTAAGAGAACAAGGAAGGGTCCAGGTGGTAATGCTGCTTCTGAGAAAACAAGCATAGCCATCAGCAGGCCCTGTCCACGGGATTTTCACAGGGACCCACCTCGGGGTTACACGAATTAAGGACGTGACCATTACCCCCGTTCCACTGTCTGCTACCCAGGCCTTGGGAATCTTCCAATGAGAAGAACCACCTTTCCTGGGGGTCCTGCCTCCCTCTTCGTGACCTAAGTTTGCCCCCGCTGGGTGGTAGCCAGCCCCTGCCCTTCACGCTGAGAACAAGCCTCAAGTTCCCAGGATCCCAAAGACAACACCACGGGGCATGTTTCCAGGCCCAGTCTGCCTGGCACACCCATGCCAGGTCCCTCTGGGCGTTGCCCAGGCTTCTGGATAAACAGGTTCTCCTGCTGAGGCTTTCAGGCACCCCTCAGGGACCCCAGTCCATGGCCAGAGCCTTGCAGCAGTGAGTCCGAGGTGCCTCCAGTGAGGGCAGGCAGGCTTTCTCAGAACCCGCACTGAGCTAGGCAGAGGGGAACCTCGGCTGCATGGGGGGTATGGTCGCTCAGAGGACAGCCCTCGTTCACAGCTCATTCCGGACACCCAGAGCAGCCAGCAGGAAAGGCTCAGCGAAGTCACCAAGCCTCAAACGGCAGCATCCCAGCAGATTTCTGTCATTTGACCCAACGATTTGAGATGACGGAGGCTCCCCTTAGCTCTGGCAGATGTGGCCTGACCCTCCACCACTGGGACAATGCCTCCAGCGGGCAGGGGCTCTGGAAAGGGAACGAGGGGGTGGAGAGAAGCGGGCTGGGGTCCTCGTTCTGCCCCTCACCTTGCCTTGCCGCCTTGGGAAGTCACTTGATTCTTTGGGCATCTGCTTCCTCATCTGTAAAATGGGGTGATCATAGCAACCTACGGACAGTGCTGGGACAGGAAGGATGTGGGCAAGTGGACATGAACTGCTCTGGACGGAGAGTGGCCTTGACAAAAACGTGGGGCTCAACCATTCAGAGCCACCCACCCACAGGGCCGTTGCCCAGGTGCCCCTGGGCGCCTGGCTGCTCATGCTCTGGTCACCCCATCCTCAGGATGGCCCTGACAGGCAGGACTTGCTATACCCTCCTGGAGAGGAAGCTAAAGCCCAGCAAGGTTAAGACACTCATCAAGGGCCACACAGCTGCTGCCACGCAGCAAAGCTGGAATTCAAGTCTGGGTCTAGCTCCAACTCCATGCTCCTGTCACCCACTAGCGTGCTTAAAAATCATTCTCCTCTTAACTCCTGCATCTCCCGGGTGAACCTCAGCCCCAGCATTCTGGCTACGCTAGGGTAGGGTGGGGTCAAATCGCCCCTGGGCCTGGGCACCCTCAACAACCCCCACACAGGCCAAGCTGCTCCCCCCGAGCCATCAGTCCCTGTGCTGGGTTCATCTCACTTCAGAGATGACTCAGCCAGAGTCCTGTCCTCCCAAAGGGACAATGGCGTGACATGGAAGTCACTGCTAGGATGGAGGGAAGCACAGAGGACTCGGGTCTCAGAGGAAGACCCGCCCCCGCCTGCTGGGTGGTCAGACAGGCTTCAGGAAATGTTCCCCATTCTTCAAGCAGATCTCCCCCGAGCTCGGCCTGCCCTGTACTAAGTGCCGTGCCTGGTTCTGGGGAGTAAAGTGTGAAGCAGACAGCAGGCCTGGGCACAGAGATGAGGCAGACAGCAGCTCAGCGCTTCCCCTGGGTCCTCCTCAGGGAAACCATCATTACTCCCGCTGACAGGGGAGGAAACTGTGCCGGCTCAGCTTCGTATGCCGCGAGGGCTCCTTAAGGGCAAAATCAATGACATCCAGCCCGAGAGCTAAGAATGTTTTCTGCATTTCCAAAGGGTTGTGAAACAAACAACAAACAAATGACAACAAAACAAACAAAGAAAAATATGCAACAGATCCCAGCACTTTGGGAGGCTGAGGCGGGCGGATCACCTGAGGTAGGGAGTTCCAGACCAGCCTGGCCAACATGGGGAAATCCCATCTCTACTAAAACCACACACACAAAAATTAGCCGAGCGTGGTGACATGTGCCTGTAATCCCAGCTACTCAGGAGGCTAAGGCAGGAGAATCGCTTGAACCTGGGAGGTGGCGGTTGCAGTGAGCTGAGATGGTGCCACTGCCACTGCACTCCTAGGCCACAGAGTGAGACTCTGTCTAAAAAAAAAAAAGAAAAGAAGAGAAAAATATGCAACAGAGATTTACACAGCCTGCAAAGTCTAAAATATCTACTATCAGGCCCTTCACAGAAAATCGAACTTGCTCTGAGCCCACACCTCATTTTGCAGAAGAGGAGTATCAGGGACTGAAAGTGAGGGCCTGGGATGGGTCTGTGTATCAGTGTCCTGTGGCTGCTGTAACACATTACTACACACAGACAGCTGGAAAACCATCGAACTTTATCTCTCCTGGTTCTGGAGGCCAGGAGTGTGACATCACGGTGTGGGCAGGCCTGGCTCGCTCTGGAAGCTCTACCGGAGGAGCCGCTCCCTGACTCCCTCCTGGCTTCTGGTGTGTAGATAAATCACCCCAATCTCTGCCTCTGTCATCACACGGCCTTCTTCTCCCTGTGTCTTTGTGTATCCTCTCCTTAGAAGGACACCAGTCATTGGACTTAAGGCCCACTCTAATCCAATATGACCTCATCTTAACTACTGACATATACAAGAACCCTATTTCCAAATAAGGTCACATTCTGAGGTTCTGAGTGGACATTATTCCTGAGAGAGGGACACATTTAAACCCACTACAGTCTGGAATCCCCAATTTTTCTGCATCCTCTGGAGAACTATATTCTCAGAGGTTCAGACACTTCTGTGTGTGTGTGTGTGTGTGTGCATATGTGTACATGTCTCTCTCTCTCTCTTTCACACACACACACACACATACAACTACTCCACAAGACAGGTGAGCAAGACTTCCCAAGGACAGGCTGCACAATGACAGGAGGCTGGCACACAGCCATGACAAATGACTTGTTTCTTGCCCAGTCCCACTGCCAATGTCTCCTTCCATCAGAATGTGCCACCAATGATAAAGGTAGAATAAGATCGTTCACTGTACATGAATCAAAAGCATGCCCCACACCTGTCCCATTCTATCAACAGCAGGCAGCCAGGGTCTCACAAGTCCAGGGACTTGGGGCTCCATGTGTGGTCTCTTGTCCCAGGGACAGATGTACTTTTTCTGCAAAGTGTCTGCCACACCCTTTGCATGGCTCCAGAGGCAGCTCCCCAAGCCATGGCCCTGCCTTGGGAGCCCAGAGGCACCCCTTCACCCTTTCTGTATGCTCACCTCTGGTTCCCACCTGCTGAGGTCTGGAAAGGGAACCACGGTTGGTTAAGCTCTATCTGTGGGGACACGAACTGTCATCCAGGAAATTATGGGTTTGGTCCTCCAACTAACTCAACAACCACCCGCAGAACAAAAATGGAAAAGCTGATGCCCAATAAGAGGACTGGTTAAACATGAGACAATGGAGCCATGGTTGGAAACCAGACCTCAACGATGACGGCACAGATAAGTATTCGACATGGAATGACGGCTGGGACATGCCAGGGCCCAGGTCGGTGCTGGAACACATAGGTGCTCACTCAGTACTTGTTGGATGTTACTGATGGGATGTGGTAGATGATGTCCCATCAGATGCTTAGCAAGCCTCCTCCGAGGCCACCCACCAGGCAGGCCTCAGACGGGCAGCGGCCAAGAGCCTGGGGAGCTGGTTCTTCTCCATGTGCCTGAGGAGGGCTTCGTGGAGAAAGAGGTGCTTTGTGTGCACCCTCCTTCCTATTTGGGGTGTCCCCTCACCAGGTGTGCTCCACAGAAGTGGAGGGGCCACAACTTTCTCTCTGTTCCCCCCAAAACACATGTAGGTATAAGACCTAGGCTCAGCCTATCACACACCACTTCCTGGTTAGCACATGACCAGTGGGGGCCAATCAGATGCTCCCACCTGGACCCAGGCGCCAACATCACAAAGGGGTCATGGCTGTGTATTCAATCATGGTCACACTGGCCCGGCCCTGAAGGCCGCGGGAGTCAGCAGCTGGCCCGACCGGCCAAAGACAAGCCTGCTTTCTACTTTTGGGATTTCCCAGCTGCCATTTTAAAAAGCTGGTTCTTCCACTCTTGCTGAATCTGCAAGCCCCAGATGGAGTGAGGTTTTGTCCTCATTTTTGCAATTCAGAACACCCCAAGTGACACCTAAGTGTTTGATAAGTGTTTGTGGATTACCCGGAAGTACAGCTCTACTCAGTGTCACCCGCTTTGCACCAGGCCCTCTGCTGGCAGCCAAAATGGCGGCCGTGAAAACGAAGCCCACAGACCTGGCTGGAATGCTCACGGGCAGATGGACCACGGGACAATAAACCAACGAGGCGCCTCCAGACGCAAGGGGGCTGAGAATGAAGAGGAGAGGGCGCGTGGCATAGGACTGCCGAGGGGGAGCCACTTGCACTGGCACTCAGAGGCCAGCCTCCCTGGGGGGCTGACACCGTTCCTGCCCACCCACTTCACAGTTACCCTAAGCACAGAATGAAACAGGATGTAAAAAGGGCTTTGTGAATAGCCCAGGTCTGCATACCTTCAATAATAGGGTTGTCATCTTACTCTACCTCCCGATAACAAAATGCTTTGTATGGCTGAGCAGAATGTCAGTGAAGTCAATTTGGGAAAGAGATCCCATAACGTTTTAAGAAGAGCTACTCCCTGTTGCAAAAACCGAGTCATGCCCCTGAGACGCTGCAGCCGGATGGCACATTGGTGAAACTTTTTTAGGAAAAAAAAACCAGAGTCTTGAGTAGTCAAACCTTTGTTTCTCACAAATACTCAACCACTCTTCAGAGGCGCACACCAAAAGGGGGAATTGAGACCCCAGACTTGGGAGGTGGATGAGGCTCCATAAAATATTGACTTTCTAACCAGCCAATAGCAGGGCACTGAAATGGAGACAAGTGCCTCTGGGCTTGGCTGCCACTTGCTTGAGACCAAGGCAGGCGGCGTGGCCTGCACCGTCTCTGGAGGAACACTACTGGATCAGGGTTCCAATATCAGTGCCAACGCCCGCCAACAAGCCCTGTGACCCTGGCAAATGAGTTCACCTCTCTGAGCCTCAGCATCTTCATTTTTTTATGTGGGGGAAATACTTTGCTGCTAGAGAGAGCCTGAAGAATTACATTCGGAAACTATTCATTTCTAGGGCCACCATAACAAAGTGCCCCAGACTGTGCCACTTAAACAAAATAAATCTATTTCCTCACAGTTCTGGAGCTGGAAGTCCAAGATCAAGGTTTCAGCAGGTTGGTTTCTTCTGAGGCCTCTCTCATGGTTTGCAGATGGCTGTCTTCTCCTTGTGTCTTCAGCCAAGGAAGACACAGTCTTCATTGTCCTTCTGTGTGTGTCTCTGTCCTAATCTCCTCTTCTTACAAGGACACAATCATATTGGATCAGGGCCCACCTTAATGACCCAATTTAACCTTAGGTACCTCTGTGAAAACCCTGTCTCAAAATACAGTCACATTCTGAGGTGCTGGGGGTTAGGACTTCAACATGTGAATTTGGAGGGGACATAATTCAGCCCATAACAGTAACACAGTAGGACCTCGATATATGTCAGGCCTACTTGACTAGAGTTTTTAAGTAACAACAATTAGCCTTCACAGAGCACCTGCTAAGCGCCAGCAGCATGCCATATACTCTACATGCACCACCCCAATCCAGGGTACGCCCCAGTGAGAAGGGGTTGTCATCACATCCCAGGGCCACAGTGCTCACGTCTGTCAGGCTGGCTCCCAGTTGGCTGTGCCCTACCTGGAAGGGGCTGCAATACACTCACCCAGGCACTGTTTCATTCCTTCAACAAATATTCACGCAGCCCTACTGTGTGTCAGGCCCTGTGCTACCCACTGGGGATACTTTGGGGGTTTTCTTGTTTTTGTTTGTTTGTTTGTTTGTTTGTTTTGAGATGGAGTCTTACTCTGTTGCCCAGGCTGGAGTGCAGTGGCATAATCTCGGCTCACTGCAACCTCTGCCTCCCTGGTCCAAGCAATTCTCCTGCCTCAGCCTCCCAAGTAGCTGGGACTACAGGTGCACGCCACCATGCCCGACTAATTTTTGTGTTTTTAGTAGAGATGAGGTTTCATCACATTGGCCAGGCTGGTCTAGAACCCCTGACCTCAAGTGATCCACCTACCTCAGCTTCCCAAAGTGCTGGGATTACAGGCATGAGCCACCACACTCAGCCCCCACTGGGGATATTTTGGGAAGCAAGAAACACACATGCACCCTGCCCTTAAAGATCTTATAAACCAATGGGGAGGCGAAGCCCAAACAGGTAAACAGATCCAAAAAATAATCTTTAACTGTAATACAGTATTTTGGAGAAAATGAACAAAGGGTTGAAACAGAGAAAATAGGGGAATCTTTTTTTGATAAGCTGAGGAGGACCGAACCTCAGGGTGAGGAGGAGTCAGGGGGAGGGAGCTGAAGGGTAGGAACCAGCTCGGTGTGTTTGAGGAACTGAAAGATCAGGGAGGAAGTGGTATGAGCAGAGGCCAGGAAAGCAGGTCGGGCCAGATCATGCAGTAGGGCCACGGAAAGGAGTGCCCTTATGTGTTTTAAGTTAGAATCAAATATTTTGAGAGCGTGTTTTGATTCAGGTGGTTCCCTCCTGCACAGACTGACTTTGTCCATTCACTGCCCTCCTGGCTGTCCTGGGGCCAAGGCACCTCCTCCTGCCCATGCATTCTGCCAGGGTCCCAGAGCTAGAGGAAGGGTCAGGGCGGAAGCCGCTGAGGATGTGGCTTAAGGCCAGGAGGCTCTTCCTCACAGGGAAAGCCAGATTAGGAGGAAGGGGCTGCCCAGGGAGGGGAAAACCTCAGCCCCTGGAGCTCCAGCTCTGGAGAGGAAGTCACAGCAGCAGGTCGCCAGGCTCTCCTAAGCACTCTAAGGCCACGTGCTTTCAGGGCCACTGTCCCATCATCACCCTCACCAAAAGATGAAATGGAGAGCCCACTGGGGAGCTCTGGAAAACCACCTGCATCCTGTGTGAGCTGACGGTTCCTCCAGATGAAAACACAGCGGGCTTCAAATCTTATAGCTGGTGCTAAGTCAGCAGTTATGACCTGGGACCCCTCTGCAGAGAGAGGACCCTTTGTGGTCCTCCAAGCCACGGGACACTGCTGACCCATGTCAGGACACTGAGGGGTGACCATAGCATGACTGACCTGAGCCTGCCCTAAAGGGATTGCAGAGCTGGGGAAACCTGTGGATACACAGGGAGGCCACAGAGCCAGACCTCGCCAGGCAGTGTGGACGGCATTGACGCGGGAGACCAGCCCATGCCTCCTCCACAGGGGGCTCTGGTGTGGCTGCTGAACAGTGCTGGGGTTTGACAAAGTGAGGGGAAGGGCATCAAGGCAGAGGAGCCGTGTGTGCAAGGGTTCAGGGATGGGATCATGTGGGAGATGCAGGGGTGGGGGCAGATCACCCTTCCCAGATCCCTCAGCCCCCACGAGACCTGGGACATGTCACTTCACTGCTCAGAGTCTATTTCTTGGAGGTGAGAGTGAACCAAGGCTAAGACTGTAAAGCCAGAGTTTCTGGGTTCAAATCCTGATGCTGTCACTGCCCAGGTGCATGGCCACAGGAGAGCAGGCAGCCTCTTTAGGACTCACTTTCCTACTCTGTAAAATGGGGACACAAGATTCTCTACTTTTAGGGCCATCATGAAGACTGCCTGAGTGGTGTGGGCAAAGAGCTTAGCATGTGCCTGGCAGCCAGCGGGGTCTTTACAGAGCGCTCACTCCTATTCCTGTTCATATAGGGTTGCCGTGATGATGACAGGAAGTGCAGTGCTGGGGCATGACAGTCAGGGGGCCTTCTCGGTGGTGTCCCTACAACAACCAGCATAGCTCCCTGTCCTCCCAGCCTATAATTCCCTGTCCACCTGTCAGTCCCTCCCACAAGGCTGTGCACGCCCAGGGGCAGGCACTCGGACATGTCCAGTGTGAGCATCATTAAGAGCCCAACTGCTAGCCAAGCCCAGCTGTGCACCTTGCCTGCTGTGTGTTCTGGGCACCCGCACAGCCTCTCTAATCCAAATCACCTCACTGTAGAGTCCACACCTGAAGTGCAAGAACATGGCAAGCCCTCCTCATGAGTCACGTGAGGATCCAGGGACATCCAGTGCTGCTGGAAGCCCGGGGGTGTCCCCACCAGCACGAGCTCAGAATCAGCCCGAGAGTGCAGCTCAGAGGCTGCGTGTTCCCCTCAGCCTCCCCCATGACGTGTGAACCTGAGCCTTTTGGTTTATGAGCACACTTGAAATCCACTGCCTTTTTGCACAGGTTGCCTGGGCAGCTGCAATTCCCCCTTCATCACGTGCAGGAACCCACAAAAATGCAGGTCCCTGCCGCCCCATCACTGCAGGGCAGCCAGGGCACTTCGGAATCCTCCCAGGTGCTAGAAGACAGGGAGAGTCTGTTCAGGCAAATCGGTGTGCATACAGCAGGGCCCAGAATCGATGCTTGGCCGTGTGTGTGTGTGTGTGTGTGTGGTGTGTGTGTGTGGGGTGTGTGTGTGTGTGAATATGTGTGCATGCACACGTGCATGCATGTGCATGTGTGTTGCGGGGAGAGGCACTCTATGGCTCCAGGTCCATCAGTACCGGGCCGGGGCAGGGGTGGAATGAGCCTTTTCCTGGGGACAGCCTGCTTCCCTCACAGCTCTGATCCCCCATCTAATCCAAGGAGCAGGTAGGCTGCCTGGCATTGCTATGGTACCTGCAAGGCAGCAGCTAACAGCCTTCCTTCCCAGCAGGCTCCACCCTGGGACCAACTCAGTCCCTCTGCCCAGCCTTGGGGTGTCAGG